CATAATACCCTCTAGTTCCATCCACGTCGTTGCAAATGGCAAGATTTCATTTTTTGATGGCTGCATAATATTCCTGTGTGTGTGTGTGTGTGTGTGTGTGTGTGTACACACATCTTCTTTATCCATTCATCTGTTGATGGACATCTGGGCTCTTTCCATAGTTTGGCTGTTGTGGACATTGCTGCCTAGCTCTTATTCTAAAAGAAGTATTTCACACGCTTTAGAGAAAGAACACTGAACAAAGCAACAGTGCCCTCACAACACAGCGGTGTATTTCACGGGGTTACTTCTCGGTGTGAGCTACAGAAAGGCAAAACATGTCAGTTCAAGTCAGTGAAGACAGTTTTCTGAGGGACAAAACCATTATAGTCCAGGTCCCTTTGTGGTCCAATATAATCCAAGGGTAAGATAGTGAATATGTAGAAGGTTGGATAGATTGCATGTGTCTTAGACAATGCTGCAAATAACTTCTCTTGGGTGATTGCTCGGTGAGAGCTAGTTGTGCTCTTAGGCAAGGATGCAAAGGCCTAGTCCTCTACATGGCTCGTTGAAGATGCACGGATGTGCTCTGGAAAGCAGGTGGCAGAGGAAACGTCTTGTGAAAACTGCGGAGCTAAGCCCTGTTCTCACCCATCGTGCGGCTGCTCGTTCTCTGTCCCTTTATTCATGTTTAGGCTCCTCTGCCTAGGCATCTCATGCCTGCTTCCCCCCAATAGGGCTAATTCCTATTTGTCCTTCCTCCTTTCTAACCCTAGCCCATTCCCACCCCCAGTATGATTTAGATGCTTTTTGACTGTGTTTACTCCTATCTGCTCTGGCATTGACGACACTCTGGTATCTTTCTGTATTACTTGACCATTCCCGGGCTGTAATTCCCTGGAAGGCAAGGAGGAGATCTCACTTGATTCTGAAACCCTGGGGCCTAGCACAGTGCCCAGGCCATTAGTAGGGACTTAAAAAACTGATTGAATGGATGAATGAGTGAATTTTCATAGTTCTCCCAACACCTGGAATCCCTGTCCACATAGACAAATCCTTCTTATCCTCTAAAGGTCAAGTTAGGTTTTGTCTTGTCTAATAATCTATATTCATATAATTAGATTTTATCTTACCATTTTTTAAATCCCTAGAGCACTTACAGTTTATGTCACGAAGTTTGGCACCTCATTGTACTTTTGTCATCTTTTATCCTACTTACTCCTTGGGTAAATTGTCTCCAATAAGACCGTAAATTCTGTGACGGCAGGATTATGTTACATTTGGGGAATCCATAACAACACCCAAAATGCTTCATTACCTTGTAATATCAGCCCTAAAGAAAATAATACATAAAACACATAAACTTTTTCTGAAAAATAATCTATTCCCCCTGTCTTCCTGGCTTTTGCTTAACCTCAAGTTAAAATGCTTTAACCTTAAAGATTTCATAAATAATGCATTTTATTATTAAACAATCATAAAACTCAGAATAACCTTCCTTATAAATTACCTAGTACAGTATTTCTAGCCTATCAATATTATAAAACTACTTCCTTGAAAACAGAAATCTATCCTTCAGATTACAACTTCTTATACACATTCGGAACCTTACTATAAACTTACTTGTTACAAAGCAGAATTCAGTATAAAGATGTTCTACTTTAGATGACATCCAAGGATCTGACTTTAAGGGAACAAAGTCAAAATGAGATTTAGTTTATTTGAAAAACATCCTCCTTCAGCTTTTGTCCCTCTATACTGATCGGGGCTCTTTGACCTTAAAACACAGATCAGGTTTTGTTTTTGCATTGTCTTTTTTATTCTTTTTTGATTTCTTCGTGAATTTTTTAGACTTCTCCTAAATTGTCTGCTACCTGAAACTGGACACCATACTCTAGTCGTAGAGATCCACCTAGTATTATGTGTAGTGTAAGATGTATCCTCATGCTTCTGGAGTTGTATGTTATACTTCATTTATAGTGTACTGTGCTCTCGAAAACAAAAGTTCTCTCAACCCTGACCTCCTACTTTCCCTACTTATTCTTGCTCCAAGTTCAGTGCCACAGTATGGCGTTTTCTAAAAACTTTAAAAATAGAAGTACTGTACAATTATGTATAACCAAAAAGAACTGAAAGCACGGTCTTGAGTAGATGTTTGTACACTCATGTCCATAGCAGCTTTATTCATAGTAGCCTAAAGGTGGAAGCAACCCACGTGTCCATTAGTGGACAAATGGATAAACAAGATGTGGTATGTACATACAATGGAATAGTATTCAGCCTTTAAAAAGAAAGGAAATTCTGACACACACATTACATCATGGATGAACCTAGAGGATTTATGCTAACTGAAATGAGCCAATCACAGGAAGACAAATGGTGTATAATTCTACTTATTTGAGGTAGTTAGAGGAGTCAAATTCAGAGACAGAAAGCAGAATGGTTGTTACCAGGAGCTGGCCAGAGGGAGAATGGGGGATTATTTTTCAGTGGGTATAGAGTTTCAGTTTTGTTATTTTGTCTTTCAGTAGGCTCCATGTGGGGCTTGAATTCATGACCCTGAGATCAAGACCTGAGCTGAGATCAAGAGTCAGATGCTTAACCAACTGAGCCACCCAGGTGCCCCCAGAGTTTCAGTTTTTTAAGATGAAAAAAGTTCTGCAGATAGATGGTGCTGATAATTGCACAGTGTGAATGTACTTAATGCCCTGAACTGTCCCCTTAGAAGTGGTTAAGCTGGTAATTTTTCCCTTGTCCCCCACCTCTGGCAACTTTGAACCTGTTCTCTATGTCTATGAGCTTGTTTTAGGGGTTTTTTTTAGATTTCACATGTAAGTGAGATCATACGGTATATGCCTTTTTCTGTCTGACTTATCTTGCTTTAGTAAAATGCCCTCAAGGTCCATCCATGTTGATAAATGACAAGATTTCATTATTTTTTATGGCTGAATAATACTCCATTGTGTATATGTACCATGTTTTCTTTATTCATTCATCCATTAACGGACACTTAGATTGTTTATACATTTTGGCTGTTGTAAATAATGCAACGAACAGAGGGTGAACATGCAGTGAATTAATGGTTTTGTTTTCTTTGGGTAAATACACAGAAGTGGAATTCCTGGATCAAATGAAAGTTATATTTTTAATATTTTGAGGAACCTCTGTAAGGTTTTACGTAGCGGCCATACCAGTTTACGTCTCTGCCAGCAGTGCAATGCTTGTTATTTCTTGTCTTTTTGATACTAGCCATTCTGACAGGTGCGAGGTGATATCTCCATGTGGTTTTGATTTGCATTTCCCTGGTCATTAGGAATGTTGAGCGCCTTTACCTCTACCTGTTGGCCGTTTGTAGGTCTTCTTTGGAAAAATGTCTATTGGGTTCTTCTGCTGTTTTTATTTTAAGTAGGCTCCATGTCCAGCATGGAGCCCAGTGCGGGGCTTGAACTCACGACCCTGAGATCAAGACCTGTGCTGAGATCAAGAGTCAGATGCTTGACTGAGCCACCCAGGCACCCCGAGATTATTTTTAAAATAATAAATGCCTAATGTGTGTAAAATGTGATATTAGGAGCTATGGATACAACAGTGAATAAGGCTGATACAGTCTCCGTCTTTATGGAGCTTTTTAGCAAGGATAACATATTAAGCAACCAGTTGCACAGTCCCATAATTTATTTATTTATTTGAGAGCGAGAATGAGAGAGAGAGAGCATGAGAGGGGGAGGGTCAGAGGGAGAAGCGGACTCCCTGCTGAGCAGGGAGCCCGATGCGGGACTCGATCCCGGGACTCCAGGATCACGACCTGAGCCGAAGGCAGACGCTTAACCGACTGAGCCACCCAGGTGCCCCATTCACAGCGTGTGCTTTCTTGAAACTACATTCCAGTGGAGAGAGATAGGCAAGACGTCTTCATATTTCAGAAGAAGGGATAGGTTGGTCATAGCAGTCCTTTCTGATAAGATGACATTTGCACAAAGTCTTGAAGGAAGCAAGGGAACGAGCCACATGAGAGCAAGAGGCAGAGCCGTTGGAGGGCGTGTGTTTGATCTCAGCCTTCCGTCTGCTGATCTAACCAAGCTGCTTATGTTTCAGAGGCTCCTCCACAGAAGGGCAGCTGAACGGACTCCAGAGCAGCTTTAACGCTGCGGCCTTTGCGCCCATCACCAGCTCCGCAGGTTAGTGGGCACACCGGCTCCTTCCGCGGCCGGGGTGACAGGGCGGGGTGCCGCGCTGGGCATATTCTCACTTCTGCCTCTGGAGAAACATGCAGTTCAAAGAACGAAGAAGCATCCGGGCCTTTGAAGCATTGGCAGATGGACACTTGGGGATGGAATGGTTTTCCAGAACTAGTTCGAGGTAGATGACATTTCTCGGTCTGGGAGAGTGTAATCAGATTTGCAGCATTTAGTAAAAAGGTCCGTAACTGACTGGTGTTCCACTGTTGATACAGGATCCCCACATGCAGTACCTCCCACTAACTCCTCAGCACGATGGAGCTGTGTGGTCTTTGATCGGGGTCCTGTCGTGCTAATGTAATGGCCTGTTGGTCTATTGCCAGGTGCTTACTGAGGTCTTAAAGCCTCTTAGTGTAGGTACCCACGTATAAGTCAGACAGCATTGGTCCAGGGGGAGTTTTCTGCGAGGACCAATTCGTAAAAGCATACTAATAAGTAATCAGAAAATTAAAATCACGTGGATTCCATTCAACAAATATTTCTTATTGAGCACCTCCCATGGAGAAAGTGAGATGCTGGGCACCGAGGGACATCGAGGGTGCACCAGGCAGACCCTGTGGTCAGGGACCTTACAGACTCAGGAAGAGAATAGAGTCAGCAGGGAGTGGCTCCAGGCTGGGTAAATCTCAGGTACTGGGGATGCATAGAATAACCGTAGACAGCACTGGCTGAACATCTGGTGTGTCCGGGACAGTTTTGAATGCTTTACATGTGATAACTCATTTGTTCATGAAACAGGCATAGAACAGGAACTGTGTTCCCGATTTCACAGCTAAAGAAATAAAGGCATAGATTATGAAACATATCCAAAATCTCATAGCTAGTAAATGGCAGGGCCGTATTGGAACCCCAGCGACTTGGCCTGGGCTTTCTAGGGGAAGAAACATCTAAGCGAAGGGTTGCACGTTGACAGGTCCCCCAGGAGAGGGGAGGCATGGAGCCGAAGGAGTTCCGGGAAGAGGGAACAAGGCCTGCACAAACGGGGGCGGGGGTAGCGGGGTGCAAATGCGCTGTCTGCGAGCCCTCCTGTGTCACCGTGGCTGGGGACTAGAGCGTGGGCAGGGAGCAGCAGGAGAAGAGGTCGTAAGAGGTAACAGGGCCGGTTTGTGAGCCATGTAGGGAACGTAGTCCTGAGTGCAAGAAGCAGCCATCGAGGAGTCTAGGGCCAGGGTGTGGAGGGGGTGTGTGTGTGTATGTGTGACATAATAGACCTTCAAATGATTATAAGACCACTGCGAAGCCTGGTTAGACTGTATCATGGGGATTATTACATATATCGCATAGGCTTACTATGGAACTAAAGGACACAATATACAGAGAAAGGCTTTATAACGACACCCAGGGCAGGTAATGATATAAGAGTATAAAGATTTTGCTCTCCACTTAAGATCTTAGAACCTGAATTCAAGAAATATTTGTTGGGTGTCTACTTGCCCCTCCCCTCCCCCCAAAAAGAATTACTAGAATATGGTCGTTATTTTTAAGGAAGTAAAACTTCCCACTGGAACTGTTATGGCCTGGGAAATGGGTGGCTGGGAGAATTTTGCACTATAGACAGCTGAGTATCTCTATCCAGCAAATTGCTGCAGCCAGAGAGGGTTGCAAAGCAAAGGAGATGCAGGAAACCTGCCTACTGCATTTGCATGTCTAACTGATGTGTTAAGTACAGAATTGAACTCTCTGCATGCGCTCTGGCTGGGGAAGTTGGAAATTTGAGGAGCCAGGTGGCTCATACTCTCAGCATCTCGATCATGAATTAATATTTATTGACTGGAGTTATCTGTTAAGAGATTTTGTAACAGTTGTAATGCATTCAGTAGCAGCACAAAGTCGCAGAGCAAAGAGAAGTTGTGTATCTCCCTGGATTCTAATATCTACCTTTTCCCTGCTTCTGCCTTAAGACAAGTGTGTTCTTCTCGCCTTATTTAGGCTGCCTGCTGCTTACTGCTTTTGTCTCCAATGACTCTGGGCCTCTAACGTGCCTTGAATTTGTTTCTGTTCTGTGCCTTTCCTGGTGTTCCTGATGCTCAGTTAAAGAAACACTGATGAACATGGTATAGTGAGTCTCAGGCATTTTCCATACTTCCTAATAAACATTCTGCCTTAGCAGTACAATACTAACTAACCCCATTAGAGTTATTTATACAGCTAGTAAGTAGCTACCTGGCACTCCAGTGTTTCAACTACAAAGCATGTGCTTTTCTATATGACACGCAGATTTAAAGGTGTTATTCTAGGGGTTCAGAAGGGTGTCCTACAAAAAGGAGGGTAGGTTGCTATTAGAAACATTTTTCTTTAAACCCACAAGGGAGAACAACCCCCATAATAAGTCAAAGTTTACATGTCTCTCAGAGATGGGACATTTGTACCTCAACAGGAATCGCAACACTGACTTTGAAAGGTATTTAGCCCCTGTCTGGTCCAGTTAACTCAGTTGGTTAAACATGGTATTATTGAGTGCATGAATATAGCAAAAGTCTGTTTCCTGGCCCCTTGACCCTCTACAAGTCTAGCCAACCAGGCCTTAAAGCTGTGTCACTTTGTTCGTCGGGCGCCTGAATGAGATACTCGTTCATCCCAGCACAGTGTTGAAAAACAACTCCGAATCCTTTCTCACTGATGGTGACCTAGCGACATTGTTCTTCTAATTATGAACATTAAATGAGGTAGTGAATGTGAAAGCTGCTAGCAGAAGGCCTGGAATGCTCCACAAATGTTACTTTTTCCTTGACTTCTCTACTTCAAGCTAAACATTCTGACTTTGCTATGGAAGGGAAGGTGTAGAGTCAGCAAATTGGGAAACTTGAGAAGGACGCTAGAGTGAGGGCCTTTGGCTCAAAGCCAAAGCCATTGGCCTCCGTTCTTTATAACCATGGCGTTCTTGAGTTCTGAAGTGGCGATGGTGAACTAAAATAGCAGAGAGCCACAGATTAGATAACTGGCATTTCTCTCATGCTGACTTGATAGTGTAAACCACCATTCTTATAGGGTCTGAGGCCATACCAGCTGCCTTCATCCCTGGCCTTAGCTTCTGCCTACGCCTTTTCTGTCCTGGAGCCCAACCTTTGCCTGCCCCC